GTCATCGCGGCCAGCCGGCTGCAGCAGGCAATTGAGGCCATCGCGGCCAGCCAGCCAGCCAGCCAGCCGTAGCAGGCATCTAAGGTCATCGCGGCTAGCCGGCTGTAGCAGGCAATGAAGGTCATCGCGGCCAGCTGGCTGCAGCAAGCAGGCAGTTTAAGGTATTGCTGCCGCTGCTACATATAACCGTAATATTGCCTTACTAGAGTAGGGGTTTTGAATGTACCGGGGGGTTCTGAGGGGTGGATTTGGAAAATTGAGATGTGCACTGATGACAATTTTTGTTTTGAGACAAATGTCCCTATGGTCGCCCGTACCGCGCAGGCTCGCGACGCCAGGGCCATGGACTGCCAAAAGCGGGCAGCGGAATGCATCGAATCGGGCTGCCCCCGGCGCTACCCTGTCCGAGGAATGCAGCTGCGATCTGCTTTTTTTTTTGCTTTTGACGTCGTACCGACTGGTCATGCAGCACGCTTCTAGACGCCTGTATCACCAGGCTTCGACGCCAGGGCAAGGCTGCCACTGACATCATCAAGGTGCCCTTGCTTGGGCTGAGCCGCAGAGTACAGATTTTTTTTACTACCAGATCCAATCGCGCGGGTGGTGGTAGTGGCGGCGGCGGTGGTGGTGGTGGCACGCCCACCATTGCGTGTGTCAAACGTCCAGTGTTTCCTTAGGGGCCGCCCGCCGCCGCCGAGACACGCGTGGCGCCCGCGAAACGCGGGAGAAAGGCTGCACGCTGACGGGACTTGCACTGGGGGCATTTACACGCAACGAGTCGTGAAGCGGGTTCCGTGGTTCCACAGCGGTGACGGATCAAGCCTTGCTGTGGAGCTCCGGAAATCCACATCTCTGCAAACCCATCCATCATGGCCGGCGGTGCGTTTGGGGAGGGGATGCTGGGGGGGCGAATCGGGGGGCCCCATTCCACGTCACCGAAGTCTTTCTTCACCTCAATCTGTTACCTTACCCTAGATGCGCAGATTGAAAGGGGGAAGATATACTCGTCCAGTGCACCGGTTGCGCATGTCCTGCGTCGGTACAGACTTCGCACATGGCCTACCCTTATATGCAGTGCAGTCGTTTGTGGCCAGAGAAACGCAGTGACTGTTCCTGCTGACAGGGCATGGCACGCCGCCCAATGGACGTTGAGATGGTTGAGCACGACACATGGCCGACGGCGTACCACAGGACCGCCGTGTCGTCATGCATTACGGGAGCATCGACAGCCGCCAGGGGGCCGCGCTGTAGCCACGGACCGGAAGCGAGCGCGGAAGCGGCGCAACGCAAAAACGAAGGCCGTTACACGATGATGATGGTCCTGGAAGGGGGACGGGCAATTCTCCGATGGTCCTTGGAACTAGCTAGCTGATATCTCCATGCAACATTTTTTCCGTGAGCAGAGGCATGCGCTTGCGCTATGCTTGTTTGTGTGTGCGTGAGTGGGTGCGCTGGCGCTTGTGTGGATGCGTTGGAGAGGCCAGTGAGCCCGGAGAGTGGTGAGGACGGGCGGGGAGAATGGAGGCGGTCGGCGAAAATACAGGCGACCAAAGTGGACTGCATGGGGGGCCATATCCGCTGTCGTTCCCGGGTCGGGCGCATCTCACACCCACCAACCAGGGCAGGACAGGACAGCAGCACGGCCCCGAGCATCCATCTCAGCAGCGGCCATGGAGGAGCTGTAGCAGCGGCAGCAGCAGCAGCAGCAGCAGCACACACGCACCGTCCAGGTTCACCCCTCCCGAGGCGTCCAACCCCCAGCTCCGCTTCGTTCTCGCAACGACGCACCTCAGCCTGCCAGCAGCTGCGGTAGCACAACGACAACGACGACGACGACCGACACCACCACCACGCCGTCCGTCCGGTCGACATATCATCACTTACTACCACCCACCCGTGCCCGCCTTGCCTTGCCGGGCACCTGGACCTGCTGCTGCTGGAGGTGTGCACGCACGCATCGCGCATCGAGGCGGTCCACTCACACGCACCACCGCACCACCCGCACTACGCACACCTACGCACGCACACAACCACACACACACATCTCGCTCAGCGGTCCCAACCCGTCCGTAGAGCGGGCCACCCCAAACCAGCCGCGCGCGCCCGAGAAACCAGTCGTGCAACACCACGCCTGCAAACTCACCCCGTGCGTGAGCGACGCAGACCGAGAAGCACAGTGAGCGCGAGCTGCTGTGGCCGCCCGCCCGCGCCAACATCTGTCGCCTCTCCCGTCCCATCTCCCCGGCACACGCCCCTTCTTCTCCGCCTGCCGACGTCGCCGCCGCCGCCGCCGCGCTTCCGTCGTCGCCTCGGCCGCCCGCCTCGCCTGCCCACCCAGTGCCGCCTCGCCCTCGCCGCCGTTGCTCCCGCCAGACCGCAACCCGCCCGCCGGCCGACTGAGGATGGGCGCTGCAGACGGGCCGAAACTGCCGCCGCCGCCGTCGCTGTCGTTGTCGTCGTCCTCGACCTCATGTCATTGTCATCGACCCGACTGCTCCTAGATCGTCGTCCCTTCTGAAAGCGCTGCACGCACACGCCCGCGTCCTGTCCGGAGCTGCGCGCTCCTCCCGTCGCCATCATGGACGAGGCTGTTCTGATGCCGGACGATGTCCTCGATCCGCCGCCTCCGCCTCCGCCGCCGCCGCGGTTGTTTGAGCGCTTGCGCCAGATCGCCGGATACACGTGGGATGAGTCGAAACAGCCTTTCCATTCGACATACGACTTTTGGTGAGTAAAGCCCCATCTGGATCACGTCTCCGCTGAGCTTGGCCACTCCGGTCAGAGTAGAGCGAGCTCGGGAGACCAAGGACCTTGGAAAGACTGACACTTGCTGAACATTACAGGCACGTGTTCGGAACGCGACATGTCTCCGCGACCTCGCCGCCGCCGAGTGTCCAACATAACGAGTCGAGTCCCGGGTCGGTGAGCAAGATGCCCACCGGCCGTCGGTCGCAATCCGACCACGGTCACCCCGTTCCCTCCGAGAGGAGTCAGAGCACAGAAACGCCCAGGACACCGCAACCTCACCCGCCACCGACACCGACCCTCTCCGTCCCGTCCAACGAAGCGTCCCACATCGAGGAACCCGTCGTCGCACGAATCTCGTTTCACGCCCTGCGGGAGGAACGAGCTTTCCAAATAGCCAGAAGCGTCACCGCAACGGCAGATCCCCTTGGCGACCATATCGTCAAACCCCTCGACCTAATCCGACTGAACCCCTCTGCGGGTGATCGCGGCGTTATCGTTGTAGCCATATATGCGCATCCCGGCCGCAACTATCTGTTTCGCGTCCTTGATATGGGCCCGGCGTCCTATATCGCGGAGAAGCACGGCGATGCATATGTCTCGAGCCCGGCCAAGACGCCGCGTGCTCTCGAGCCGCCCATAAACCTGGACGATTTCCTCGACTTCGCCATCGGCGCCACGCAGTGCTTGGAAATCCTTCATCACGGCCAGGGCATGATTCATGGCGAGATTCGAGGCGATGCCTTCCACTACAACATCGAGGAGAACAAGGTTCGCATCGTGTCCTTCGGCTCAGGAATTAGGTCGTTCGAGCATGGGTTGACCAGCACCGGCTGGTCGAGCTTGTCGAAGGAACTCGGCGCGAAGAACAAGCTCCTTTACATTAGTCCCGAGCAGACCGGCCGCATGCCGGCAGAGCCGGACACGCGGACCGACATTTACTCATTAGGCGTCTTGCTATGGACCCTGTTAACGCAGAAGCCCGTATATACTGGAGATTCGCCGCTCGATATCGTCCAAGGCGTACTGGGCCGGAGGATACCAAACGTCGCCTCGGTGCGCATGGACATTCCCGATGTCATCGGCCGCATCATTCAAAAGTGCACGGCCAAGAACATTGCGGATCGCTACCACTCCGCAAGCGGTCTCAGACACGACCTGGTCATGGTCCAGGATCTGCTCGGCGACGGAGACCTGTCCGCCCTCAAGGATATGAAGATTGGGACAAAGGACGTCTCTTCATTTTTCATGCTCCCGGGCGCCATGATTGGGCGAGTCGACGAACGAAATGAGCTGCTCAAGGTGATAGACCGGGTCGCTCGATCGCATGCCATGAGCAGCAAGGCCACCGGAAGCCGCTTCTCTGATGGATCTAGCCTTACCAACGAAGTCATCATCGGCGACGACATGTCCAGCGAGGGTGCCAGCTCTCTTGATGGCACAAACCGCCGAAGCGGCTCCTTCACCCAAACAACCTCATCCGACCCCAAGCAGGCGAGAAGCAGCTTCCAGCCATCCTTTCTCTCTGACACCCAGACCCTTTCCAACGAGACCATCTCTTCCTCTCAGTCCGGCAACCATGGACGCCCAGCGCGGCCGTGGGAGCGTCATCAGTCCATGTCGATAGATGCCAGCAGCGCCATCGAGAGTCTGGGCCTAGAAGCCGGCCGTTCCGGAATCACCGACTCATCGGCATCCAGCCTGTCCCGACAGCTGGGCAACGCCAAGTTCCGGAGGCGGGGGCACTGCGAAGTCGTGACCATTCAAGGCGCTGGAGGTCTCGGGAAAAGCTTCTTGGTACAAAGCGTGCTTCCGGAAGCTCGGCGGCGTGGATACTGCGCCACAGCAAAGTTCGACACGTCGAGGCGGACAGCATTCGGGCCCTTGCTTAAGCTGCTGTCATCCCTATTCAAGCAGGTTTGGGGCGAGCGGAATACGGAGACGCCGTTCCATCAAGGCCTAAAGCAATACGTACGCCCAGTCTGGCCGATGCTTCACCGGGCGCTTGGTCTCCCAGAGTTCCTTCTCGGCCCGCCCGAGGTTGGCCCTGGTCGGTCAGTCTCCTCGATGCATGGCTCCATCAGTGGCTCCATGGGTTCTGTACCGCGAAGTAACGGCAAAGTCGGGATCAGGCGGCGGGGATCGTCCCCTGGAAGCTCCCCGCGGCCACTATCTCACAGCTCTAGTATCGGTACACAGAGCTCGCAGGACTATCTCTGCGCAGGGACGTCGACCAAGACGACGCGACTCATGAACGTGTGCCTGGATATTCTCCGCGTCTTCACAACACACAAGTTTATCTGCTTCTGCTTAGACGATATTCACTTCGCCGACGACGAGTCTCTGGAACTCATCACTCAGATTATCGGCGCCAAGATGAAGATGATCATCATCATGACATATCGCCCCGAAGAACTGTCAGCGGAGAGGATGGAGAGCATCATTTGTCCTCCCGAACTTGACGGTGCGCACGACCTCAACCGGCTGTCGAGCAGCCACGTTAACCGAGGGGCAGAAACCCCGCGCAACAAACGGCCAGCTGTCACGAGGATAACCCTGTCTCCAATGACAGAGGACGACATTCTCGAGTATGTGTCGACTACGTTGTCACGGCCCAAAGAGGAGATCCTATCATTGGCACTCGTCATTCAGTCCAAGACGGCCGGCAACCCTTTCTACATGCGCGAAATGTTGAGCGCCTGCCATCGCAAGAAGTGCATCTGGTACGACTACCGAGACAGCCAATGGCACTTTGATTTGGATCGACTGTTCGCGCAGTTCCAAGGCGAGAAGGACTACGATGTCCTCGACACGGGTTTCATCACACAACGGCTGGGCGAACTGCCGGCCGCGGCTCGGGCTGTCCTGGCCTGGGCTGCGCTTCTCGGCAACTCATTCTCTTTCGAGCTGATCAGCCGATTGATGCAGGGAGAGTTCGAGTTCGACGACGGCGGTCCAATGGTATGTGCGCCAGAACATGCGCAACGCACTTACACCGAAGGCGAGGCGATTGCCGGACTCCAGGCTGCCATTCAAGCATACATCATTGTTCCGAGCGAGACAGAGGATCGCTTCCGCTTCGCACACGACCGATACATTCACGCATCATCTGCCCTGAGAGAGTGCAATACCCGGCGAATGCACTTCATCATCTCCCAAACCCTGCTCAAGTATTACGCGGTCGAGGCCCGGCAAAAAGACAGTACCGCCTCGCACATCTGCACAGCCTTAGATCTCATCAAGCGCCGCGTGTTGGCACGTCAGGGCTACCGGAAGCTCCTGCTGGACTGCGCGCAGGCGGCGACAGAGAACGGCGCTCGGCCGACTGCTTCCAAGTACTACAGCGCGGCTATATCTCTGCTGCAAGAGGCGCCGTGGGAGGACGAAGCCGACGATGTTTCATATGACGAGACGATGCAGCTTCACCTCCGCGCCGCCGAGTGCCACCTGTTCATGGGTCAACTTTCCGCCGCCAATGACCTGCTGTCGGTAGTCTTTGCAAACGCCAAGACGCCAGTTGACAAGGCCCCGGCGTATGTCCTGCAGTCGAGGATATTTGCGCAGAATGGGAACGCATTGGCGGCCTTCATCTCGCTCAAGGAGTGCCTCTCCGCCCTTGACGTCCCGCTCGACGACCAGCCGACGTATGAAAAGTGCGATGAGCGCTTCAAGAAGCTCGCCAAGCAGATAAAGGCGAGCACCCGCGAGGAGCTCTTGCAGCCAAAGAAGACGGGCGATCCCATCATAGCTTCCATCGGGGCGGTTCTGGCCGAGACGACTGCTGCCGCTTGGTGGAGCGACTGCCTGCATTTCTACCACCTCACCCTCGTCATGTTGGAGATGCACCTCTCGAGGGGCGCGTTCCCACAGTCCGGCATGGCATTCCTACACCTTGGCGTCGTGGCCTTGACCAGGTTCGGCCAGGCACAGTTTGCCGTTGATCTTGGGTCCATATGCCAAGACCTGCTATACCAAGCGAGAGATGCCTTCTCCATGGCACGAGGTCAGATGTTACACGCCTGTTTCCTCGGCCACATCCACTACTCCATGTCTCTATCCATTTCTCAGATGGAAGATGCCATTGAACTAGCATCTGTGGGAGGTGATCGCATGTCTACCATTCTCAGCTACGGCCTCTGCGCTCAGGCCAAGCTATTTGCGAGCGACAACTGTGCAGACCTTGAAGGGTTTTGCCAGTACGGCTGCGAGGATATCCCGAATTGGTCGTACGACACGCGCGGAGGCGCTTTGCTAATTGGCATTCGTCAGCTGTGCCGAGCGTTGCAGGGCAAGACCTCCATACACGATGCGGTTGGAGTCATGAGCGATGAACAGCACGATGGCATCCTGTACAAGAACTGGCTTATGAGCCAGACCCAGGAGAGCAACCGGTCGTCGTTGTTCTACGAAAGCCTGGAGCTTGTTGCTCTCTTCCTCTTCGGCCATTATGAGCGGGCCGTTGCGATCGGCAAGGCCTGCACGGAAAAGCTCGCGATGCTCTGGTCAGCACGCAACAGCAGGCTGATTTTGCTTTTCTACGGGCTTGCCCGCTCCGGCAATCTGCTGAGGAACTTGAATGATCCTCGGTCGTTGGCGGAGGACTTCACTACGGAGACCAAGGACACGATCGAGGAATTACGTCGTTTCGTTGGCATGATGGAGGATTGGTCGGTCGTCTCAGACGTCAACTATCGATGCTGGTCTCGACTCCTCGACGCCCAAATTGCAGAGCTATCCACCGATCACGGACAAGCAGTCCAGCATTACGAAGAAGCTCTGGACCACGCCGCCGAGCACGACTTTATTTTTGAGGAGGCGCTCGGTAACTACCTTATGGCAGGCTTCTTCGTCAGGCGAAAGGCGAGGAGGTCCGCTCGAGCTGCGCTGCAGGAGGCCATCGGCCTGTACAGGCAGATCGCGGCCACCGGCGTGGCCAAGACCATTGAGGATGAACATAGCCTCCTCCTTCACGGCCCAACGAGGAATCATCGATCCAACGAGGTCGGTGTTCAGACGGACTTTGTCGCGGATGCGCCTTCTGTGCGGTACCGCACCGTTGAGGGAGAAGACGGCGAGGAGCTGACGCAGATCCCGTCAAATGTTATGTCGGATCTCCGGGGCGATCGTATCGGCGCGTGGAGAGGATCCATGCATGTCCCAACGGAGGACGGCGTCGGCCTTCCTGCACTGGACATGATTGACCTGCACGCCATTCTCGTGTCGTCACAAGTCATCTCGTCCGTCTTGCAGGTAGACGAGCTGCTCAAGACCATGTGCGACGTGGTCCTGCAGACGTGTGGTAGCTCCGCGACCCGGGCAGCCATCGTCGTCCAGGAGACTTCTGATGCGCACGCGTGGTACGTTGCTGCGAGCGGTGATCCCGAGCGCGGAGCGTCGGCGCACAACCCAGGGCTACCGCTGTGTGGCACGTCCCTGATCGCGGAGAATGTTGTGCTCTACTGCTCCCGCTTCTTAGAATCAGTCTTCATTCCCGACCTCATTGCCGACGAGCGATTCGGAAATGTCAGCGAGTCGTGGCTGCAGCGAAACCCCTTGGGCAAGGCCATCATCGCCCTGCCCATCTGCCACGGCACGAAGCCGCTCCTCGGCGTTCTGTACCTCGAAGGCGAGCCCGGCTCGTTCACCGACCGCAACGTCACCGTTCTGCAACTGCTGGTGAACCAAATCGGCATCAGTTACTCCAATGCCCTGTCAATGAAGAACGTGGAGAAGATATCTGCTGAGAATCGCTCCATGGTGTCGGTCCAGAAGCGAGCTCTTGCCAAGGCACTCGAGGCGGAAACCAAGGCGAAGAACGCCGAAGCGGAAGCGAAGCGCAACGTCAAGCTTGCCGAGGAGGCGGCCAAAGCCAAGTCAATATTCCTTGCCAACGTTTCCCACGAGTTGCGGACCCCCCTGAACGGCGTCATTGGCAACTCGGAACTGCTCCGCGACAGCAACCTGAACCGGGAGCAGCTCGAGATGGCCGACTCCATCCGGGTGTCAGCTGATCTGCTGCTCACCGTCATCAACGATATCCTGGACTTCTCGAAGATGGAGGCCGACAAGATGAAGCTATATATCATCGCTTTCAACCCGGAGGAAATGGTGCGCGAGGTGGTCCGAGCAGTCTCGTACAGCAATCGGGAGAAGACGTCCAAGAAGAACGTCAAGATCATCCAAGACATCAACCTCCCGCCGATGCTCATTTACGGAGATCCAATCCGCCTCCACCAGGTTCTCGGGAACTTGATCGGCAACAGCCTCAAGTTCACCGAGGACGGTGCCATCACAATCGGCGCGCGTCTTGATTCGGACACCAAGGAAAAGGCCACCCTGACGTTCTGGGTCCGCGACACCGGCATCGGCATTCCGCCGCAGCAGCTGGCCAAGCTCTTCCAGCCCTTCAGCCAAGCCGACGCGAGCACAGCGCGCAAGTATGGCGGGAGTGGCCTGGGCTTGAGCATCTGCAAGAGCCTCATCGAAATCATGATGCAGGGCAAGATCCAGCTGGAGAGCGAGGAAACTGTTGGCACCACTGCCTGGTTCACCGTCACGTTCGACAAGGCCAAGTCCGATGTCTCGGCTGGCGACGCACAATCCAAGGGCTCGCCGCCCATTGACCGTTACTCGGCAGCGGTGACGCCCGCCGAGCGAGCGTCGTCACCGAACCCATACATCGATTTGACGAAAATCTCCAAGGAAGACGTGCGCATCTGCGTCGCGGAAGACAACCCAATCAACCAGAAGATTGCCATCCAGTATGTCCAGCGGCTGGGTTACACCAGCGTGAGTGCCTACGAGAACGGTCTCAAGGCCGTCGAAGGGCTCCGCCAAAAGGCCAGAGAGGGCAAGCCGTACCACATCGTCCTCATGGACGTCCAGATGCCCGTCCTGGACGGGTACGAGGCGACCAAGCTTCTTCGCAAGGACTCGCTCGAGGCGGTTCGAAAGGTGCTCGTCATCGCCATGACGGCGTCGGCCATCCAGGGCGACCGGGAGAAGTGCCTTGCCGCCGGCATGAATGACTACCTGGCCAAGCCCGTCCGCTCCGAAGTGCTCAAGAAGAAACTGGATGCATACGTCAGCAGCGCGGTGAGTAACATGCATATCCCGGAATAAGATCTCCGTGTGAACGTCGCACTGACCTGTGACGCAGAAATCGAACTTTGGGTTCAGCCACCAGCCTCCGAGCCCATTGGAGATGCCCAAGCCGCAGGCCAACGGAGCACGGAGCATCACACGGTCAAACATGCCCGGCCGCGAACCCAGGGTCCCCGGAATCACCATCTCCGACCCCATGAAGGACGGCGCCGTGTACAACATGCCGCTCGACTCGGCGGGTTTCAACGCCAACGACAGCCCCGTCTACGGCAGGAACCACGATCAGGACGACCAGTCCTTCTTCCCGCACGTCGAGGACCTCCAGCGGACCAACTCGTCGGCCACGGGCCAGACCTCCCCGCCGCTGCCGCCGTCGTCCCAAGACGGTACCGAGAAGAGACTGCCGCGCAAGCTGACCAAGAGCCGTGGCAACAGCGAGACCCGGCCCCCCGGCGCGGGGGAACAACAGGTGCTCGCGGAACGGCCCAAGGGGGTCTTGACCAAGAAGCCGCCGAACCAGCTGCAGAGTTCCGTGGAAGACGGGACAACTGACGGCAGGCCCTCGCCGCCGCAATGACACCCGTCGGGACGGAGGAAAAGCCTGGCGAGCTGACCATGTCCACGGCCGCAAATACCCTGCGCGAACATCAACATGAGACTGTTCTTTCTACGAATTCATGAAAGCGACCATAAGCACGATACACCATACAAGGGACTCACGGGGGGTCATCTACAGAGCACTTGGCCTTAGTCGACGTGCCCTCTACGCCAGATGTGTCCGGGAATGGCACCCTCATTGTCCATCCGGTCACATGCTCTCCACGGCACCAGTCTGGCACGTCCCTACTGGTGCTCGGTCCGCGTCTTCGCCGTTTCTGATATATATCTGACATTTCAAAGACGTCAGCAGAGGAAAAACAAAACACCCTTCTACCACCACTACCACTACTACTACCACGCACCACCTCGATCACGGGCGTATCAGCGCCCACGCCCCCGCTTTAGCTTTTCTCATCTTCTGTCACTTTGGCTCCTCTTTTATGACGTTCATATTTTGGTATTTGTTTCGGGGAAAGGGGGGTGTCAGGAAAGAAACGGCCGTGATGGTGCTCTCTTTTTTTTTGGTGCATTTTCTGTGAGCGACACTCTGAAAACGCACACGGAATCACCCCGGCATCTTTTCTTTTCGAATGTTTGATGCTTCTCTGGGGGCCTTTCCCCCTTGGTCGACAAGACGCGCCGCCGGTCGATCCTTGTCTGAGGAGGAGGAAGAGAAGGGATTATTCGCATGTCAACGGCGCCTGAGGTTCGATCCTGCATTGCAAGTCATGGGGCGGCGGAAGGAAGGAAAGGGGCCACGCCAAGTAAATCGCGTGGGAGCTGCCCATGGGGAAGAGTGACGCGGTCCGTGGTCAGTTGGAAACGGATGGTGACGAGCGCAAAAGGGCCTCACTGCTTTGCATGACAAACGGAGGCCATAGTCATAGGCAGTAGTACGAAGTAGCATCACGAGAGGCAGCGCGGCGCCTGACGCCCATTGTCGCTTCCCGATCTAGCCGGCAATATTGACATTTCATGCCGCGTTCGCGACCAAATCTACGTGAACGCGCAACTAAAGCCGGCTTGGCCATTCCACGATGCATGCATGCATGCATCGCCGCCTGGCTTGTACCCGCGTACCGGAGTTGCATCCGTCGAGCCCGCGGCGTTAGGTCAGTCAATTGCGAGAAGAACGGCCGTCGGCTGCGGCATCTAGTCCGCCGCACTGGCATGTGAAACCGATCGTGTCCCTTGCTGCGCAGGGCTCTGGCTGTCGTTGCGTTGGGGGCTCAGCGCTATATGTGACTTGCTCGCCGCGGAATATAGGAGGAAGCGGCAAGGACAGGGCACCGGATCGCCGTGGTATGGACTATTGCGGTCGCGCGTACGTAGTCGAGTGCGTTGAGTGCGCCATCCGCACAGGACAGGCAGTATGCACGGCGGGGGTTACGTCGGCGTGTGAAGTTCGGACAAGACCAGCTAGGCTAGGCAGGCAGGTTGACCGACCGGTCGCAATGCTGGCACGCCACGGCCACCCGACGCGACCGGACAGCCAAAGAAGAATTGCCGGCCGGGGCCTGGGTTTGCTCATCGGGGCAGGAACCTGGTCAATGGCCAAGATTTTCCTGCTTCTCGTACGAGACGAGAATTCCTCCTCCCCTCCAAGCTAACCGTGCCGGGCGCCAGGCAGGACGGGCGGCCGATGAGGAGTGGCGTCCAAGCCGCTGCTGCACGAAAGCCCATGCAGGGTGCGGATGGAGAGCCAGTCAGCTATCTCGCATGCTTCGCGAGGCCATGGGTGGGCTCGGCCTGGTCTGGTCTGGCTGTGGCAGTCCATCCATTGTGCGGAGCCTTCGCCCGAGAGGGTGGGGGGGCGTTTGTTGGGTGGCCTGCAGGTGAGGGCCTCGATATGCGGGCCATGCATGCATTTGACAGGCAAAGCTAGCGAGCAGTTAGCTGCAGTAGCTGTAGAAGATCCCACTGGCCCTTGAGCGGGCTCTTTTTGTCCATCTCGAGGGCTCCCTCGGGGCCGTTGGGCGGGTCGTCTGTGTTTTTGCATACCATGTTGTACGGACGATTGAGCCGTCCTGGCAATCCTCTCGGCTGGAAGATGCGTGCATGCGGTACTGTATGCTGTTCGTCCGGTGCTCGCTTCTGCAGGGCATTTGTACGTCTTGGCCCTGGGAACGAGGCTCGCCGTTATGCCCCGAAATGGGGCGAGAAGGGCGCTTTTTGACTGACCCGTGCCGGGCATGCTCGCCAAGACGAATTCGTCTCGTTCCGCTCTAGTCAAGGTGATGTTGTGCAAGCACTCGTGCCGCAGAACGTGGTAATCAAAGATAGATTCCGGGCAGTTTCGGCTAGCCAAGGAGCCGAGTTTTGCCAAATACTGAACGTCGACCATGGGCTTGCTTTCTGTGTTGACATGGGGGTGCCACTCGTTCCGTCTTACTCTCTCGGCGGCTCACGTTGGGGACTCAAGAACGCCACCACGAGGCCGGGGTTTCTTCCCCCCTCAAGCCGGTGGACAGCCTTGGGCTTGGCAAGCTTCGCGTGAGGCGGAGGAGGCAACGTCGGGCTGTGGCTAAACGCCGCTTTTGACGACACCCCTACGTCGACATGGGGCCATACCCATGGGTCTGCATGAAGCACGGTCAGCTCCCAGAAGTCAAAGAATGGCGCGTTGAATCCAAGGGACCCGATGGTTCAAGCCAGCCCAGCGCTGGCTTGGGACAACTTCCCTCTTGCATGCAAGCGCCTTGGGCAGATTGCTGCATCCGAGGCTCCAAGAAAGCTCCTTTCAACATGAGTTGGCCGGTCGGGGGTTAGAGAATGTCCGCTCTTGGTAGCGCCGCGCTCCCAATGCACTCGTTGAGCTACGGAAGTGGCCTGGCTAGTCAAAGGGAGAGATATGGGGTGTGCTTCATCAAATGCCTAGCTCGCCTGACCGACGCAACTTGCTGTTCCGAAGCTAATCTGAACCGCAGCCAAGGCAGATGTGCGAGGGGATCTAGTGGCCGCAAGAAGATCGCTCCTCCGCATGCTTGGCGCCAGGGCACGAGCTACGAGCCTAGAAGCGGTCCTCGAGTCGAGTTGGGATTCCCTCAATTCCTATTCAAAAGGTGCCGACGGGTTTCGCGCGTGCCCATTCGGTTGTGTTGTGGCACATCATGGCACAAGGGTCAATGCTTGATGTGGCTGTCTGTGATGGCCCAGACCGGAAGTCAGTAATCCTCAGCGGCTAGGCGTGAAGCAAGTCCTGGTGCCATCTTCCGTGCTTCGTCAGCCCCATCTTGTCGCCATGGCTTGCTGAGAGACACGCTTTTCGGTGTCTCCGAGGAAAGAACAGACAGTATCCCGCCATATGCTCGACGAGGTTCACCAAGGACACGGATTCTCTTCAAAATCCAGAGGGCCGTATGGCAACTCGCCCTTACAGCATGGTATCGTTCCACGAAGTTCCCTTGAAGCGATGGTGAAGACCAAGTTGGTCCCTGCGGGGCAGGCTGCTACGTTGAGCAGCATCGAGATGCGATATCCCTGCATACTACTGTGGATGATGCCACGGGAGAGCGAGCGGAGTAATGTTTCAGAAGTCCCGAAGTCGACATGGGTCAAAAGTGTGCGCCATCAGCCATCAGAGCCCCTCCGGCTAACTTGGCCAGGCCGGGCGTCAACCCCAGCGGACGGCAGTCGAGGCTTGCTCTGGCGACCCTCGCAGCGCTAGCACGGCCACGCGCGCCCGTTAGGACGATGTGGTTTGCGTGGTGATAAGCCACATGCCCAGGTGGCCTGCCATACAGGGAGCTGTCAGATTTCCCAGGGGGCCGCCGTCTCAAGCCATGCGCGGTTTGCTGACCCATGCCATGGACAAGAATGACAAGTTTGGCCAACATGCCGCTTCGTTAGCAATTGTTCATGACAGAAGGGGACTTCCTTTGACAGGGGTAACCATTGTGCCCCTGATTCCGAGAGATACGGAATCGGAGCAAATGCACAACGGATTGCCGGCTAGCCTAAGTTGTCCGTGTGCGTGCATGTATCGTTGAAGCGAGACAACATGGTTTGTCGTGCAGAGACGCACTGCACCAGCGGCCGCAGCAGGGACTCGAATGCAGTGGGTTTTATGCTCTGTGTGTTGAGACCGCTCCTTCGACCGCTCCAAACCATGCAGAGCAGTGGTCAGATGAGGCCTTCAAATCGGTCCTCAGCGATGCGAACATATAAGTTGGGGCTGCCCATGAGCCGATTACTCCCATAGGGAATTTGTGGTTGCTGCCCGTTCTGCTTTGGAGTTATGGGAATGGAGGCGGTACTGTGGGAGTGGGGAGCACCCTCGTAAGCTGCTGTAGGCCTTGGTTGCTGCCTTGCCGTCGTGACGGTTCATGGCTATCGCCGAGCCCGTTGGCAAATTCAGCCCACTGCTAACGCAACTCGCAGCTGATTCAGCGGCAATCAACGTCAAGGGGTCACGGATAATGGCCAGGAAATGCCTGGTTTCGATTCTGTGTCTCAGGGAGTCCTCTCAAAGCAGAGAGACGAGGGCAACGCCCTACCAGTGGCGATGTAGGGTGATACGGAGTCCCCGAGGTCTACACTCTTCGTCCATTTTCAGTTTGAGAGTGCCCTCCCCGTGAACTCTGGTAGCCGTTGACCATCACTGCAAAAGTGAATTTGCATCCAGGCTGAGCAGATGTGATGACAGTTGTGGTGGGATGTGAGAAGCTACTCGACATATGTTGAGCCGCAATGACTTGTGTCGGACGTCGCAGGCTCCATTTCCAGAACGCAGCCCTCTTTGCAGTTTTTCAGGTCAAATTCGGTAATTCGGTATGCAACAGAACTATCTGCTTGGCGCTCCGCCGTCGAATGTTATTTGGACGAGTCCAACCACGCGGCGGCTCCGGTCTGCAGGAGTCGGGTGCGTGATGCGTAGGTGAGACTTCCGCAACAGTCCAGTTCCAGCCTGCATCAAAGCGCAATGGCCCCTGCTAGCAAGCCAGATCCAGATCACGGTTCAGAGAAGAGCGGCGGCGGCAAGGCGGGTCATAATGCGGTGGCGGGAATCCTCGATGTTACGCCATGCTGCGGACTGGAGGCAGATGGATGGTGGAGTGGGCGGCAGGATCAGATGCTGCCAATATGCCGAAGGTGCAGCTGCAGTCAGCCATGCATCCTTGCGCGACTGATGGCTGGTTGATTCGATAAACCTGTTGCCCGTCGATGTGTGCCGGTCGAGCCATGCATCCATCCATTTATCCATCCCAGCCACGCGTTCGGCTGGGACTGTCGAGGACGAAAACCATCGGGCGTCTAGACGCCACCCCCATTGACCCAAACGCCCTGTGAGGCACTAGTTGCAGGAGGGCACCGGCAAGACTTGATCAGGGAAACCAGCTCTCAGGACGGACATGTGGGATAGACTTTACCCAAGACGAACCGTTGCCCCGTGTCTGTGGCTACCGGCAGCAGCAACACAGGAGGGAGCCACACAGCAGCAAGCCACTTCACAACGGGTGATCCACTCCATGCACGCTTCGCCTCGCCCACTGGACTTTGTGCGTGGTGGGCACAAACGGGTCCCCTCTGCAAAGTGCGTGACTGCGCACATGCTCTTGTGTGCAGCGAGTATTGTGTGTTGTATCAGCGGCAAATCGGTGCAGCGCTGGCTCGGCACTGTACCCTGTGGCTGGCAACGGTGCAAGCGACTCAGGACAAAGGGAGGGAGCCGTGCGTTCTCGTACATACATAGCTCCTACCAACCCAGGCAATACCAGGTGGCACCGCATGCAGCCGGGTGTCGCTGGCTTGGTTGGCTGCAGAGCTTCCCATGTCATCCCAGGCGGCCCACGGCGGAGGCATTCCCACTTTGTCGTTGCAGCTTCATAGCGCGGTCCTTCGAAACAGATCGGCCGGCGTGCAGCCCTGGTCAGCGCTGGTCAGCTTTGCGTGGTGCTGCTGCCCTGCCTGGAAGCCCTGCCCTGCCCTGGCTGGCCTGTTTGGGTCGTGGGTCGTGGGCCGTGGGCCGTGACCTGGCCAGGGCCCCCGTCCGTCCCCTCCGTTTGACCCCGCCGCTGCTGTGTGCAAATTCCTTGGTCCTGGTGGCGAGTTGAGGCGCCGCCTCGGGGCCCGATGAGCACAAAGGTGCAAAGTGCGTTGCGTCGTCAATTAAAAAAAGGATGCCACAGTCGCAACAGCTGCGTGAGGGGGGAGACTCAGTGGATGGGCCGACGATCGTGAGGCGAGGGAGGGGGGACACACGAGTCGAGTCGGGGGAACAGGCAGGTTGTGTTTTATCCCAACGGTGTTGCTCTCCGGACCAGGTTCGGAATACCTTGCCCAGAACGTCATGAAGCACCCCTTCTTGCTGCTTCTTGCTCATTCCAACGAAGTACCGTATAGGTACCTTGCTTCGTATCGAGTGCCAACATTGTGCTTCCGGCCTGCTGTTCACGCGCAGGGCCACTCACCGAAGACGGAAGTAAGAATCCCAGGAAGGTGCCTGGCCCCAGCATCAACCCAGCACCTTCCTGGTCTGCGCCCCGAACGGCCCCGGGACCTTGAGGTTGCCGGCGTGCCAGCCAAGGGAAGGAAGGAACCGTGGACAGCGAGGGAGCGGGAGGGAAGGCACCCTGACGTGCTTGGGGATCTCTGACCCGCTCGGTGGGATAATTGCAGTACGTACGTATCAAGGCACGTAAATAAAAGAAGCCAAAGACGGGCGAGCCGAGCAGGTCCTTGGCACAGACACGCCTTGCCCGGAGTGTCGCCCGCCCACACGAACGCATCGGGTACTCCGTATTGTACTGCAAGGTACCTGGCTCCGAGCCGAGTGCCCGCTTCGCATGTGCATCCTACGAGTACCGCGCTGTAATCCATACATTGCATCGTATCCGGCGAGCTTGGATTCGCGATCCTGCAGCTTCGATACTCCTGGCAACCTTGTCCGCCGACAGTCGCAGGCGACGCGGCAGCTCGTCGATCCGCGCAAGAGCCCGGATACTCAGCGGATGAGGTAGAAGGATACTTACCTTGGGTAGACTCTGAGTACAGGTACCTTGTTCTTCGTACCAACGAGGAAAGGCACCCCGTGCTGGTTTGGTCGCAGGAGCTGCCTCAGTGCCATACGAGGACCGTACCTTCCCTGCTTGAATGCGCGGCTGTGCCTCCGAACCACAGCTACTGGAAGGCTCCTGCCCTCCTTGGTCCTTGTACTCGTTCCTCACCAAATTTGTCCCGGGAGGGGGGATGTTGCAGGGGAAAGCCAACAAGCCTTGTTGGGTTTTGTCTGGCACAGTATTTCATACTCGTGCACGAGCGCTGCTCCTCCCGCCTCACCAGTGGTCAACACTGACGCCCGGCTGCTTTGGCCGGTGCTCGCGGCTCAGAACAGGACCGCCGACCTCGCGAGCATTGAGATGGAGAAGTACACTGTGCTGCGTTGGACTGTACTGTGCTATGCTGTGCTGTGCTGCGCTGTGCAATAGGTATTCAAGGGGTCTCTTCCCTTGCCTTGCGCTTCCTTTCTGTTATTTCGTGGTTGGGCAGGTGCAGCCCATTCAGGAAGTTTCCTCACCTTCTTTCCACCTGCCGCCCGTCTCATTCGGGGCGCTGTGGGAAGGTACAAGGTACTGTACGGTACCTGGCCTGCTGTCCTAAATCCACGCTCCACGCTCCACGCCCTGTCTCTTATACACATCTAGATGTGTATAAGAGACAGCACCAACACCATCCGCCAATTCGACTCGCTACCCGACCTACCTGAGGTACGTACGTGCAAGTCGCCCGCCCGGTGCCTGCCCAGCTCCCCACGCCAGCTGCTGGGGTAGATTGGGTTAGCAGCAGGTGTTGTAACTTGCTCTGCCACCCCTCCAGCTCCCAAACACGGCCAGCCGGACACCTCCCCTCGTCCCTCGCACTCCGTCTCCCTGCCTGTCCATTTGTCTTCTTGCGCCTTGTTCGTCGTCTTCTTCTTCAACTCATCCGACCGCAAGCACCCCGTCTTCGCCTCCAAGGTTCAATTCTCTTCCCACCGCCCCTCTTTGACCACCCTTTTTACCACATCTCTTCTCGCTACCCGCCCGTGTCGCGAGCGACGCTGGATTTCTACGGTTCACACTCGATTGCTTCTTGGCCCCTTGGCGCATGGGGCAGCCTCGTTCGTTTGTTTTGCTCTCCGGCAGGTCGAAGACCCCGACATCTTGCTCCGCGTTCTCTTCCCATTGGGGTTGGTAAAGGTTGTTGATCTAGTCTGTCGACTAGGACCTTGGTACCTGTTTCTTTCTGCCTGCTATCCTTCTCCGTCCTTCTCGTCTTTGGCACGGCCGCCACACACCACCCACTCACACTCAGTGCCTGGTCCCCAACCCTCGATCGGGTGGGTGCGAGTGCTGCACTGTACTCGAGCGCGCCGGTGAGAAAGCGAGCTGCCAGCGTTGCCCCCCCCCCCCCCCCTACAAGCCCGCCGTTCCGTGGCCCGCTGTCGGTTGCCCGCTGCGCCTGGCGCTCGCTCTTGGCTCTGCTTCGTATCTAGCCGCCATACGGATTCCGTCCGTACATAACCACCATCGACATACCTTGCATGCCTGCAACGCGACGAGCCTACTTTACTTGTTTGCACATGCCGTCTTTCAGTCCATACCTAGGTATTGTATTACCTTAGCCGGCTCCGTCTCGTCTTGTGGAGGCGCAACGAATCGCACGCCCCCTGCTGGCCTCACCCTTCCCACTCGGAATCAGCAACCCCACCGGCGCCGGCATACGACAATAGCAGCACAAAAAAAACCCCCAAGCGGCGCCAGCAGCAGCTCCGTCCGCCGTCTTCGTTCCTGATCGGCCCCCGGCAGGTTGATTATCAGGCCATTCTGCTCTGATACACGGGCGACTAGTGAAATCAACAAGGCTCGGCCGTTTCTCCACCGTGGGACGGCGTCCGCTCCGGCTTGCCGACCCTGCTGCAGCCCACCCCCTTTGAGACTCGTCACCACCTTGCCTTTGCGCTGCCCGATCCAGGAAGCGGCGCAGGGAGCAGACCCGCGCCTGATACCGAATAAGGCTACTGCCATTGCAGTCCTTGACTGCAGGGTGCCTCCATTTCGCTCGCCTTTTTCTCTCATGGACGCCGCAACAGCCATGTCCCAATGAGGTTGGCCCGGTTTGTCTGCAGTCCCATCCGCCCCCCCGCCCCGTTCGGAAGCCCATTGTTCTCGAGCTGGTCGTCACATCCAGCTTGCGTCCCGCAGTTGTTGCTCCCACCTGTACTAGCACTGCTCGTACTTACACCCGGCCCTCGAGCTGGGACCTTTATATCCAGCCGGTACGCCTCCTCCTCGTCTTCCCCGTCCTCGCCTGTGCCCACTTTTCTGCCCGTCTTGCCTTATTCTCTTCACTTCTCTGCACTTCAACTCGTGCTCTCTCTCTCTCCCTCGTTACGATCCTCTTCTTCTTTGTCTCGTGAGCGACACGCTGCCCACTCCCAACCCGTTCGCCCACAGCCGCCGCCGCCGCAACTCGGCTAGCTGGCCCCAGCCCAGACACATCCCTATGTTCACTCGACGCGAGACCAGGCTGTGTCAGTGATGATGCTCACCATCAAACAGCCTTCAGCTCCGTACGGCTACAAGTCCGTTCATGATCTGCCGACGCCTCCTGCCACGTCGCGGCCCTCTCCCCCCTTGAGCCACCAGGAGGCCGCCTACAAGCCGAGCACGACCGTTTCCCGCAGCCACAGCCCGGTAAACCAGCTCATGTCGGCACCTCACCGTGGCCTGCCCCCTCCGGCGGCCATGGCACTTCCTCCTCAGCAACCTCCTCCAGCCGCCAATGTCCCTCCCCAGCCGCCGCACCACAGCCAGCCCCATGGTTCGTTAGCCCACGGCCCTCCGCCGGGACAGGCATGGACGACGCTTCCGCCCCCTCCACAGCAATGGCAAGGAGCAGAAGAGTCGATGAGGAACTGGCTTTTGGCCAGAGCGGAGGAGGAGAAGACGAAGCAAGAGGAGGAGAAGACGAGGCAGGAGAGCCTACGTTTGGAGCAGCGGCGGGTCGAGATGGACATGCTACGAGCTTCGCTCGGTGGAGGCATCCCACCACCGATGGTCCCTTTGGTATTTGCGGGCATGGGAGCCGGCGGCACATTGCCCCAGGCGGCGTTGGAATGGGCACAACAGTTCATGCAGCCATCTCAGAGCCAATACCCCCAACTGCCGCCGCCCCAGCGCCAGCACTCGCCGGATCACCATCAACGCGAAGCTCCGCCGCCCGCACCAGGGCAGTATCCGGCGCCGCCATCCGTGGCTCCACCACAGGCGCACGCACCTGTGGCATACGGGCAATTCCCAGGGTCGCCAACCAGGCCGAGGGGCCAGACCGTGAGCGGCGTCGTTGGTCGACCAGCGGCGCCCTTGGCCAGCGCAGGCGGAAGCCAACAACAACCTGCGCAAGCGAGCACAGCACCGATACCGCCATACCAGACACAGGGGCAGGCGACGCAGCAAGACACGAGCCCGTCCATCTACTTCCACCACTGGCAGCCACCGACCTCGCAGGCGGGGAGCAGCAGCTCGAACAGACCGGGAACTCCGTCTGGTTCGTCCAAGACCAAGAGAAAGCGAGACTCGCTGTAGGCTAACCAAGGCTCTGGGGTGATAGGCGAGGCACACAGGAAGCGCAAGTCGGCAGGGTCGCAATATCCCGCGCAATCATCTACCGAGACCCGATTGCGATCTCCCCCGCCCTTCATACAAAGCAGCCTGTCGAACCCCCCTCCCGGCAGGAGGATGCACAAGCGCCAGAGGAGTGATGCCTCGTGGTATCGACCCGCCGGCCACGGCCAGATGGAAGAGGCGGACCGCAGGACGCGAGCTCTGACGCCTCACGGAGATGTGGGCGGCGAACCCCCACGAGATGCGCATGGTGGCGACAAGAAACATTCGGTGTCAGCAATGCTTTCGCAGGAACCCCTGGGACCGGCTTCCCATGAAGGTTCACGTTCTTATTTCCATTCAACCCAGGCAACCGGGCCGTCACTGAGCCGATATCGCGAAGACGACGGTGCGCCGCGAGACCGGCCGGTGACGCCGAAGGGACGGGAGCCCCAAGGGCGTGGTGGAGCTGCTGGCTCAGCCGAATCAGACCAGTGAAGGGGCTTCGTGAGCTGGACGGTCCGTGCCGCGGACTGGCACGAAGCGGCCAGATTCCCGGCGATGCCATGACTCGCCAAAATTAGACTTGGTGTGACGAGTTGTCACGATTTTTTTCCGGTTCCATGGGTTTGTTTTGCTTATACTGGATCATCGGTGGATATGCCTGACGACTGCATGTGCGCTTTCCTAAGACGATCTCTCTCGATTTACTTTGTCTCCATTTCCTTTTTCGGGCATGGTGGTGCACGAGGTTTAGGACGGAAGGAGGGGCAGAGCTAGGGCAGGGCAGGGCAGGGAATCGAAAACGACTTGACCGTCATGGCAACCCGCAGGAGCTTGACCGTTTCATGCTAGCTTTGGCACGCGTCGGGATCACAGCACCGGGCGTGGGGACCATTGGGTCGACTGCTACAAGGCGGGCTTCGAGACGGCGTACAATACTCGTTGTGTGCGCGTGGGCATGCGAAAACGGATGGTTGTTTTGGTGTAAGCATGTACTGTACTTGGGTCACGACACTGGGACGGTACAGTCTGGTACCCTCATAGACAGATGGCGGTGGACATTGGGCTGGCGGTGGCGGGGACAGTGGGTTCAGCCGCGACGGGAGGTGATGAGGCGATATCGAGGATCTGCGGCGAAATGAAGCAGTCCTTGCAATTTGCTGCGTGCAGTGCCCGGCGTGCTGTATTTTGTGACGATGGCTCGGGTGAGGAGAGTTTGCGGTGCCGGGCCATGGCTGACGAGCGGGCGGAGATGGCACAGAGACATGGGGCTGGGGGCTGGGCCTGGCTGGGCATCAGCCTCGCCCAATGCAGGGAGGGAGAGAGCAGTTGCGTGTTGGGAGAGACGGGTTCGTCTGGATGTGGAATGGGACGTGATGATGAAACGAGGCATGGGCGCGCGGAGGCCTGCGGTCGAAATCAGTTGCCCAAAGGGTCGCACAGTTTGACGGACGACAGCCACGAGCGGCAGGGGTTCGAGACCAAAGCGGCCCCATGGACGAACGGGTCCCCCACAGGAGCTTAAGGAAGACGAGAGGCTGAAGGGGGGCCCCATTGCGGCAAATAATCAGAAAGGGCAAAAGGCAGCAAACGGGGCATGGCATGGCATGACATGACAGGGTCGGGGGTTGGCTGGGCTGGCTGTGTGCTTTCTTTTTCCTCCGTGTTTCCCGTTGTCGGCGGGTTTTACGTGTTGGAGGCTTGCTGGGCTGTCGCCCGTTGCTGCGGAGGAGGGGGCCGGAGGCGGTCCTGCAATATCAGATGGGGAGGAGTTGGGAGGATTGGGCGGATGGAGGTGACAGGGGTGGCTCGTGGCCCGGGAGGAGGGAGGGGGCGCGGGTTTAGATGTCCAGGG